GCGTGGCGGGGCGGGCGCTCCGGGGGCGGGCAGAGCCGGCGCGGCGCTCCCCCGCCGCCGCCGCGCGTCCCCGGTGCGCCCCACGTGCCGCCGCCGCCGCCATGGGCGTGCTGCCGGTGCCGGCGGAGGTGCGCGCCATCCTGCTGGACATCGAGGGCACCACCACCCCCATCGCCTTCGTCCAGGTGAGTCCCGGCGCCCGGGAGCGCCGCTGGCACCGCGGGAGGCTCCCGTGGCACCGCCGCTGTTACCGTGACCCTCCGGCCCTGGCATCGCGGGGGGCTCCTGTGGCATCGCCGTTCCCGTCGTGACCCCACGGGCTGCCGCCGGGACGGAAAGCCATGACCCGTTTTCTGCGTTTTTTCCCAATAGTGCTCGTAAGAAAATACGTGTTGTCTTGCCGGTCGGCCGCCTCTTCGGTGGGCAGGGGAACAGGACACTAGTGCTCGGATTCGGGGCAGGTCAGGGATGTTTTTTCGTGGATATAGGGCAGTTGGAGTGCTCGTAGCCTCGTCCGGGAAAGGCCCTCGAGCGTTGCTGTTCCTTTGGTGGCTGGAGCTGCAGCACCGCACCCGGGAATGCGGGGAGCCTGGAGTAAGAGCCCGGAGTTATCCACTGCGTTTTTCCATCGGGAGGGCGGGACAGCCAGGTGCTTCCAGTGTCGCCAGAGCCGCGTGTCCAGCAGCAGCACTGAGGGAGGGCAGCACAGGGAGCACCCTGGGCGTACCGTGAGGGGCATCGTACGGACGGCGCCTGTGTGCGGGTGGCTTCCCTTGCCGAGGAAAAGGCTTGAGACTGGTGGAAATGCTGGCTTAGGTGCAGAAGCCAGGGGACTGCTAAGCCTGCGAGGCCAGCAGGAGGCATTAGGACAGGCTGCTATTGAAATCTGCAGTTCTCCAAGCCCTCTCTTGGTCCCTGCCGGGACCGTGTGGTTCGCGAGCAATTCGTTTGTATTTAAGACACCGAACAGATTTATCCCTTCTCCTGCCGTTGACCCGTGTTTCTCCACGAGACATTGCAGGTTTTGGAGGATCTTTTTAGCCAGTGGGTTACAAAGGTGCTTTGTGACCCACATGGCGGGCGAAGGCTCCTGACAGGCTTTCTAGATGTTTCTGCTAACACGGTTTAACAGCTGAACAGCATGACCTACATCTTTCCTCTCCATGCTCTTCCAGTGCTCTTAAAGAAACGTCAGGCCTAGATGGCATTAAAGCTGCCTCCCTCCCCTCAGTATCTTTCAGTTTAAACAGTTTGAACAGTTTAGATTTCTTATTAAACATCTCTCAGAGCAATGAAGCTGGTTATATCCACCTTTAAGCTATTTTGCTGTCGTGCAAACAACACGCAATATACCTCAGACGCTTTTCTACCCAAAGTCTTCCTCTTGTAGGGAGGCCAAATGAGTTTTGATTCTCAGCAAAACTCAGTTTGCTGGAAATCCTGCTCCAAATGCTTGGATCAAGTTATTTCACTTGAACTTTCAATTAACCTCCATAATTTCTACTTTCCTTTAAAAGGTCCACTGCTGTTTCTGCAGGCACTTTTATTCTTTAATATTAAAGAATTTTATTTAATCACTTCTTTACTGTTAGAATTACTGAATATGCAAAGTAAGGGAATAGCATGAGTCAGCTGATGGGTGGATTAAGGACAGATACCAGAAAAGAGCTTATTTGGTGGCCACTAATTAGAAGTCACCAAGTTTTGCCTTTTGCTGGATCCACCCTGGCAGAGTGAATGCAGATGGCAGGGAAGAGATGTGATTTGATAAACTACATCCCTGGGGATTTGCCAGATCTCCTGTAAAAGAACAGATTGTCACTGAACTTAGTGACAGTTTGCATGGAAATTGAGAGAAAAATTTATCCTGGTCACTTGATTACAAGGCTAATTACAGTGTGCTACGTGGGTGTCTACTGACAGTAAAAATACCACCCTTTCTACTCTGGGTTTGACGCTGCTGTAAGCAGTTGCGAAGGCTTAGGAGGGCTGTCAAGCTGTGGTTGCTGAGGAATCTTTCTCCACCCTGCCAAGGTGTACTGGGACAGCCACATCTGGGGCTGGACATTGCTGAGGAGCCTAACCATTCCCCCAGTACGCACAGCAGCTGTGCACAGCAGGCTCCTGTCTCTGCCCTCCAAGGGAAATGAGAAGTGGGTGAAGTTACAAGGGTCAGTAACAGACCTTGTTAAACCTATTCAGGAGTTTGCAGACACCAGCTTTTGCTGAAGGCTGAAGTGGCGGTGAGGGAGGTGTTTCTTTGCAGGATGCAAGGAGTCTTTCTTCCACACAGACTCCTGACATCCATAAACCATCTGTCCCACTGGCTGTCCACCACTCCAGCTGTCACATGGGTATCCCCTCTTGGTCCACAGTCCGATGCATTTGCCAGTGAGCCAAGACTTTTACCTTTTTAAAATCCCCCGAATCATGGAATACACTGTGCTTTCAGAGCCTTTTTAGAAGTTTTCTTTGCCAGCACAAGAGCATAAGACACTGGTTTTGGAAAACAATTTGGACCTTTTGACATCTGAGTTGTAAAGGAGATTAAACCAAGTCAGTGGGTTAATTGCATTTCCCAGTGGATTCTCTGTAATTTCTTCCATCATTTAAAAGATAGTTTGAAAGTAAAGGAAATAAGAGAGTAACTGGGGGTATTACAAGGCTGTTGATTTCCCTAGACAAGTTTGTGGTAATTTTTAGGCAATTTGCATTGTTTATAAAATTTACAAAACGGAAAACACAATATCCGAGTAACAAAATCCTGCAGTTCTGCTACCACATCATACTCTGAGGACCACTGCTTTCTTAATTCAGTAGCAAGTTAAAGGTGATATGCAACGAGGAGAGAGAAATTATGAGTGTCTTTTTGAAGAGAGGTGAGCTCGGGTTAATTTCTTGCCCATAAAGAAAAGCTTGTCTCTGTGCCCAAAGGAAGGAGCTCCCTGACCTACCCCTTGTCCTGAGCCTCTTCCCTCACCCAGAGATGCTGCACAGTGGCTGCTTGTGGCTTCTCACTTGTGAAACACCACTAATGAGAGCAATTTGTAATTATTTCTGGTTGCCCTTGAGATCTTCAGGGAAGTTTGTAATTTTCCCGTGGCACTTCTCCCTAACCCCATTTCATTTTATTTTGTAAGACTGTCCTGTGGAGCTCAGTGTCACTGGACTACACTTTTCTTTTTAAAAGGTCCTCTAGCTTTGGTGAGAAGTTGAGATGTGTTTTCAGAATTACCTTTGTTAGGACAAGCACCCCATCCAAAATATAGTAGCATAACTTGTCCATTCAGAGTACATAGACCATCAGCCTTGTACTCCTCAGCCCATGGAAATGTGGAGTCACATCTGCTATTTGAGGTGTTTTTTGACAAGCCCAGGAAAAGTTATAACCCACCTTTCCATCCTAGGGCTTAGAAGTTGCAGCTACGTAAACATTTTGTGTAAAAAAAAAAAATAATCCACCTGCACTCATCTTGGCCTGAGGCTAGCTCTGTCCTGTAACGTAACCAGGCAGGCACTCTTGGCAGGCACTTTCACAGGTTGCAGTACCGTAGGGGAAGCTTAAGTTGGGAAAATAACTGTACGCACCAGCATGTACCAACAGTTCCTTTTAGAGCAAGTCAGCCTTACCTCTGCCAGGTTAAAGGAACAACCTGTTTCCCTGCCAGGAGACCTTGTTCCCTTACATCAAAGACAACGTGAAGGAGTATCTGCGTGCTCACTGGGAGGAGGAGGAGTGCCAGCGGGATGTCGGACTTCTGAGGAAACAGGTTAAGTAACAGAGCTACACCGTGTCTCTCTGGGTTTTCAGGGCTTGCCCTGGGGCTTCAGGTCACTCGGACTCCCTCAGTCACCCAACATGAGCCCACGTCTCTTTGCCCCTCTCTGTGGAGGCTGCTTGCTTCAGTGGTCCGATTCTCCCCCTCCCAAAGCCTGGGGTTGTGCTCAGGGAAGGGCTGGTGCTTGGCAGGCAGCAGCTCAGCTGCTTCCCTCAGCTCACCTTGGTCTTCACGGCCCTCGGGCAACTGTCCAACCAAGACTTTTCAGCTTTTTGCCTCCACCGTGCCCTTCTCTTGTTGAATACACACCTCTTTGGGAAGCAGCGTGGAGGGATGGCAGAGTACTTGTCCTGCACAGGGCAGCACATCCTGCCTCTCTACAGGGACACAGCATCAATTTGAGACCCGTGGCTGAAGCCAACAGGCGCATTTGCTTTTTTACCTAATTTCAGTAATTAAATACTTGAGCAAGTATAATTCTCATTGGAGTATTTACAATACAGCTACAGTAATGCTAATTGTTTGGTTTGGAAAGTGCAATCCAAGCAAGTGTTTCTAGACACTACCAAAGTCTGAATTTCCCATTGAGAAAAGCATCCAAATAATGTCGTAACCCCTTGTGTGAAGAGCAGTTCAAGCTGTGTCCTGCACAGAGGTGCATGGATGCAGCTGTTAGACCACTTCCCTACGTTAAAGGTGTTGAAACTTCTCCACCTCTTCCCTCCCCTCTTTTTATCATGGGTGGTTTCCAGGCTCAGGAGGACTCCAGCTTGGACGGAGCCGTGCCAATCCCTCTGGAGAGCGGAAGTGGGGAAGAGGAGCTGGAGCGGGTCATCCAGGCGGTTGTGGACAATGTGCACTGGCAGATGTCCCTGGACAGGAAGACCACAGCACTGAAGCAGCTGCAGGGTCACATGTGGAGGGCAGCCTACGCCACCGGGCTCGTCAAAGGAGAGTGAGTAATTGTGTGAGTAATTGTGGGCCTCTTCCTGTGGGGCAAGTATGGGGTCCATCTTTCCTAGACATTTATTAGCAGAATAGCTGCGTAAGCTGTTCCTGGGAACAGCCCCACATAGAAATGCAAATAGGATCACTGGCTCAGTGGACAAGCCAATGTGTTTGTGTTCAGTAGTGGCTTAAGCCAGACCACTGCTGTTGTGGAACCAGCTGCAGACACTTCATTTCAAACTTGATCATGCAGTAAAACTCAAATCCACTGAGCTTAATCTTTGGATCTAGGCAACAAAGAGCTTACAGTAACCTAGGGACTGACCAAGTTCCCCCTGGGAAGAGCAAGTAGGTGAGAGTGTTTCTCCTTAAGGAATAATTGGCAGGTACGTGCTGGAGAACCGCCAGTTATCCAGCAACCTGAGCAGGGTCCATAAACTAGATGGGGTCTGACCAAAGAAACAGGGTAATGGAAGCATGACACGGAGCGAGTCTGCTCCCACAGCTGGTGGAACATTCATCGGGGACAACTGCATTAAAAAACTTGGAAAATGTCTCAATATTTATCTAGAGAGATTTCTTGATAAACCAAGAGGCTAAAGCACAAGTATGAACTTTTTACAGTTCTCCATCTTGCGTTTTTTATCCCCGAGTTGCACTTGTATTTTGGAACAAATATAAACAAGCCAGGGTTGCAGGGTCAAGTCCTTTCAGTCATTTCCTCCTGGTTAGTCTTTTACCTGTGTGTTTCCTGCCTTTTCACTTCTTTTTGTCTTCAGGTCCCTCTTTATGTTCCAGCCACAACACAAGAGTGTGTAAGTAGGGACAACTGCAGCTAAGCTTGATCTTATTTAGGCTAAGAAATACTTGGTTAAACTATGCATTTCAAATTTGTAAGAAAGTAAAAGAAGCCCTAAAATTCGCAGAGCTGTGCAGTGCAGGTGGGAAGGCTGCGGTTTGGACTGGGATCATTCCCTTGAGATCACATCTCCTCCAGCTCCTCTCTCCAACCTTCTACCACATCAGACTGACATCCTTTCCCTACCTCTGTGAGGCTTTGTGGCCTTTCCTTACCAACCATCCCACGTATTATTGAGGGACTTACTGTCAGCCTCACTTTGTCCCTCCTGGGCATCCTCTAGCCTTCAGTATCCCCCAGTACATGGGTCATCTTCGAAATGTCCACAAAAAGAACTTTTACTTACATATGCGTGGGGCACTGGAGAGATCTCGTGGTATAAATGAGAAGCAACAACAGACACGTCCATTAGCAGTTGCCTTGGCTTTGGTCCTCCTTCCTTCTCTTACAGCTTTGCTCCTGTGGCTGGGCTTGTCTTCAGGTGGCTACTTCTCAGAGTTAGATGGAGCTCACATTTTGAGGCTTGTCAGCCCATTGCTAGACCAGTATCTTCCTTTCCCAGCACTCTGCAAGGCCAGAAGAATAAGGGGAGGGATGCTGCTGCCTACAGAAGGAGAGTTAGTTCACCCTCTGTGTTGCCAGGGACATGTCTGGCCCATGGTAGTACTGTACAACCCAACCCACTTGCTGAATAGAGTAGCTCTGACCTCAGTCCCTTAGGGGACACTCCTTCCCTGAGTTTTTCTCTGGCTTCAGAGAGTTTGTACAGTGCCATTCATTCAGCTCCTGCAGCTGCAGCCTTGTCTCAGCTCCTCCCTGTGCATGGTTGGGGCCTGAACCCACGCTGTGGCTTTGTACCACATGGATGGAGCTTACAGCCAGAGCTCTTAGCAAGAGGGAGGTCTTTGTTGCTTGCAAGGCAGGTGGGACTCAGAATGCAAGAGCCTGTCTTCTCTGTCCCCCACTTATTCCTCCCTTGCAGAGAAAAGTGATGGGATGACATTTTCCCCAATCTTCCCTTCCCTCCCCACATTGAATGGGCTGGAGAAACTGCTGCCAGATGTCTGGAGCACTTCATCAAAGCTGCTGTCTGCATAGCAATCTGTGAGCTGCTCAGCTGGTCAGAGCTCAGAGTACATCACTGCTGCTGAAACAGGCTCCCTGCTTGCAGGGCCCCTGAACAGACTGAGAATGAAGTCCCCTTGCAAACTAATGGGACAGTTGTCACAGTGCCTGGATAAAGGTGTAACTCCAGGTGCCCCTGGATTTGCCCTTACCTGCCATCCTGTTTTGCTCCAGAATCTTTGAGGACGTGGTTCCAGCCATCCGGAAGTGGCGGGAAGCAGGGATGAAGGTCTATATCTACTCTTCAGGCAGCATTGAAGCCCAGAAGCTTCTGTTTGGATATTCTACAGAAGGTGATATCTTAGAGGTAGATAACCTTACCACCTTCCTTACAGCTTCTCCCTCTGCAGAGCACTCCCCTCCCACAAGCCCCCTTGCTGTAACACTTGGTGAATGAAGTCTGGGACAGGAAGGTGGGGGGAGTGGGTTTGACCCACGGGAGTTAAGCTCATCCAGTTGACTCTGCTGGCATGGCTGCATCGGCCCCTGGTTCCGGTGGTAGAAAGGAAAGGGGAGGGCTTGCTCAGGAGTGAGGTTCAGCCCTGCTCTTCAGGTGGCATTCAGCAGTGGCCTGTGCTTCTCTCTCTCTTTCAGCTCTTTGATGGCCACTTCGATACCAAAATAGGCCCCAAGGTAGAAAGTGAGAGCTACAGAAGGATTGCCGCCAGCATTGGGTGCGCCACCAACAACATCCTCTTCCTGACGGATGTCCCAAGAGGTAGGTGGCCTGCCAGCCCTGCTGGTTCTCACCTGTGCAGGGGAGGCAGGTGCTCTTTAAACACATGCTGCTGACTTGTCCCAACCACCCCAGAAACGCTGCACATCGCATGGCTTCAGCACCTCCCCTCTAGCTGTTGCCATCCTCCCTCCTTACACACTCGGGCTTGCACACAGCAGTGGGATGTCTGTGAGCAGCACTGCAGTGAGGGAAAATAGGTCAAGTAGAAAACCTGCCTTTGCACCAGCAAGCAAGGAGAGACTGTTAAAGCGGAGCAGAGCTTTAGCTCTGAAGCGGTTGGCATGTCCCACTTACAAACAGGGTCAGTGGTTTGACCTGTGCTCAGGGGAACTGATGTAAAGCTGTGCTGCTACGTGGCACATGCTGGTGGCTGGTTCTTTGTGCCTCTTACGGTTAGGTTGTGTTCAGCAGCAGGAAAACATTCCTCCTGGTTGTCAAGATTTGACCCCTGGAAAGCCAGGATTAGGAAGCTAATTTAATGGCTTGTCTTTGCTGGAAACATCTTTCTGGTAGAAATAGCACTGGGTTGCAATCTCAGTCTAAACCAACCCAGTCCCCAGGAGTCAGTCCTTACCTCCTCTCCAGCCCTCCCAGAGCTGCTGGGAGCTTGTAGTTACCTCCTTTTCCCTGGAACACCTCCTTGGATTTCCTCTTGTACTTAGGAAGCAAAAAGAAGCTTGTAAGAAGTGACTGGGCCGGGTTGGCGTGTGGATTGACTCACTAACACCACAGCCTGACCACAGCCCAGCTACCCTGTGACAGGAATCCAGCTGGAAGGTGCCTTCAACAGCCATCAGATGGGAGAGGATAGTGAGGCAGGCAGCTCCTGTCCGCTCATGTTACCTGGCAGCTACAGCCATCCACAGCAGGTCTGCCAGGAGCTGGTTCCTCTCTGGAGCCCTGCAGCACCACATACAAACTGTGCTTTCTCTGTCTCAACCTTTAAAAGCATTTCAGTGCTTTGGGGATCTTCAGGCCTTAAAGACCTTGATGTGAAGAGGTCGGTAAGTAGATCTCATCTCCGCTCTCCCCACCCCTGTTTGTTTCAGAAGCCAATGCGGCTGAGGAAGCGGATACTCACGTGGCTGTGGTGATCAGACCAGGCAACGCAGGACTGACAGACGATGAGAAATCGTATTACAGCCTCATCTCGTCTTTCACCGAACTTTTCCTGCCTTCCTCCACTTAGGGAAAGCGGTGCACGCACAAAAGACTGTGCTTCACCTGAATTGTCCTTGTGAAACATTAGGTAATTTTGTCCATTATAAGAATTCAAAACCAAATCCACATCATGTCTCGGACCCACAACCAGTGCAGGCAGGTATGGACGGACAGTACGGTGTGGGGTCCCTTGTGCAGTAGGACGGAGGCCTGCTGCCAGCTGGAGCTGGGAACAGGGTGAGGAGCAGCACCCATGAACCCTGCTGTTCCTCCCCTTTCCTGGCTAGCAGTTAGCTAAGGAGATGCTTCCTTCAGAGTCACCCACTGAAATCTGGTGCTGAGATGCCCCACCATGAGCTCTGTCATTTTTAGCAGCAGTCTGCAAGCAAGGTTTATGTCCCTTGTCCCAGAGGGACTCCTGAGGACCATGAGGGAATATGATCTCCTCCCTGCAAATGGGGTTGCTGGCTAAGTCAAAACTTTCAAAGTTAGGATTCCCAAAGGAAAATGCCAGCTGTGGGCTGTAACACAGTAGCTGACACAGAAAAAGCCAGCCCTTGCTGCAGGCAAGCTTTTTAGACGAAGAACAACATATATATTGGCTATATCTGCAGCAGGTCTAGGTACAAAACAGTACAACTTGCATATGGAAGCTGCTTAGAGCTGCACAGCCAGCCTACTAGAATGAAGTAGAGTATATATAAGTATAGCTTTAAAAATTAAATTCTGGACACACTCCACTGCTGCATTGTGGTGCTGGGCTATAGGATATAACTGGCTGAACACCAAAGTCAGCTTGACTGCATTTCTGAAGTATCTCAGCACTAACCCATGGAGCTCCTCCTCAGTAGCCAGCACCACCCAGTCACCCATTCATAGCACTGGTCAGCTGTGGGCAAACCTTGACAAACTGCTCCCAGGGGGGCCATCCTGCTGCATTTAATGAGAATTAAAACCCTGACCTGTTCACCCTACCTAAATTGCGCCAATGTATATCAGATGGTCATGGAGCTTTTCCTAATACAGTAAATAAAAAAACAATTTGGCTTTCATTGTGTTCACTCCATCACAGTATTTAGCCTTCCTGTCTATCACCAGTGATCCCAGCACTTAAAGGCAATTTTTTTTTTTTTTAAATCTGCAAACACTTTGTTGTCCTGCTTTCACCTTCCCCAGTCCTTTCTCTGAAGCAGTAGCCTTGTCCTGCCAAGGAAGCTGTATTACCTCACTGACCACTTTAGGGTTTCAGCTGGTGCTCAGTGGGGGTGCAGGAATGAGAGCCACAAATAGGTTATACCTGGTAGGAGTGGAGGCAGAGGCAATCTGAAATCCCTGTTCCCTGCTGCTGGCACTTTGTGCATGGGTGTCACTTGCTGTGTACTGAGCAATGGCACTTGAGCTTGCCCTCCCAGACAGACAAAATACAAGATTAACAAGTGTGCTGCCTTCCTGAGCTCTGATCTGCACCTACAGCTCTCCCTGTTGATGGAGGCTGCTGTGTAAAGGACAAGCAAGAGATGGGCGTTTGGGGAGGAAACCACATCATGCCAGCACTGCCCTTCTAAAACTTTGATAGTAGCAAGGTCGGGCTGTGGGGCAGCTGGTCTTGGATGCCTCTCTGGGCTGTGTAATCAGTGTGATCCTGCTCCTAGAAAGAGCCAGCTAATTAGTGCTGTTACAATAAGTGTATCTGCATGGCTGAATAGTTCCTGGCTTCCTTAAGTGATACTGTTAATCATTACACTGTAAATACTCACCTTTTGTTTTGCCTTTGCTGTCAGAAAGCTATGCTTGGGGTAGGGGACAAAAATAAAACTCACTTTCTCCATAAAAGCACTTTATTTAGTGGTCATGTTTCAGTGTGTATCAGTTGTCACTTAGTTGTACTGAAATGTGCTGTTAGAAATACTCTAAGAAATGTACAGAGTTATCACTAAAAACCTGAAGTTCAGTTTGGATTGCATATAGGAAAAGGAGACAAAGGAAAAAAAATAATCACATCATCTTTTTTCCCTTTGATAAAATTACAAAATATAAAATGATAAACTGAAAGTATTAATTGATTAGGGAAACAAAAGTCACAGTGGACTATTTACAGTAAAACACCCTTACAACAAATTGCTGTTTTGTGCTCCATATGGATTGAGTGAGTGTGCCTATGTAAGAGGATCCCCACCTGTCCATTCTCCAGACTGTCCATGCCCAGGAGGAGCTCCCTGGATGAGCTGCTGGGGAGCCCAGCACCTTTCACTGCCGTGTCCTTGGGCCACCCTCAGCACATCCTTCCAGGAAAGCTTTCCACTAACGACACTGCTTCAAGGAGGAAGCCTTCAGCAATTCACATCAACCCTCTGTTGGCCAGAAGTGCTATGGATTTATAACAGCTGCCTGAGAACAAATTTTGGTGCACAGAAGATAAAGGGCTGGCTGAAAGCTGTCTACTTACATTAGTTTGTCTCAACTATTTCTCCTTTCAGGAGAGGCCTCTGACCTTTGCAGAAGACTGCCCTTGTACCTTTTCCCTGTCTTGTCAGAAATGCCACAGAGCGGTACAGTTCCCCTTCAAAGGCCTTTTCCTACCATATTAATTTCTGCTTATTTTCCTGCAGCTCAGACAAGATGCCAGCTTAAACTGAGTCTGATTTGTGGAAGAAAATAGGAGCCATGTTCATGAGAAGCAAGTCCCATCACTCCCCTTCCCAGCCAATACAGCAGCCTTCCCAAAATGAGGTTTTTTTTTCAAATGAGCTTTGAGCTCTTGCTTTTTCTTTGAAAACAGACCTTCTGTTTGAAAATGTCCCTTTAGGAAGGGAGAATCCTGTCTGGTTTTGCTATTCCCTTTTTTCACCTCCAGCCCTCAGGCCACATCACCCAACCTTGGGGGCAGAACTGCCTCCCTGCACCTTGGAAGCCCATGTAAACCTGTGGCAGACTCCACTCAGGACAACTGACCACACTGAGAGGTCCAGAACCCAGGCCTACTGTCGGCATGTCTGAGGTTTGGCTTGTAAGTGCACAAGGAGCAAAACCAAACCTTGTGTCCAGAACCACCTGCAGTGGTACTGTTCTCATTGCAGACAAGCCCAGCGTCTCTAACACAAAGTTTTCCCCCTCAGTGAACAAAAAAAAAAAAAAAGCAAAGGTTTTGAAATACTATACACAATGTGTGGTGGAAGCACTACACACTTAGAAAGAGCAGCCTTTTCTGGGTCATCTTCAGAGCACACAGACATTCTCACCTTAATTCAGCACCTCACTTCCCCCAGTCCCCACTGTTGAGTCTGAGCCATGAAGCCAAGCACAGCACCCCACTGTGTCATCTCCTCTGGCCTGGGGACGATCTGCCCAGCTACAAGGCAGCATTGGCCAAGTCTTGCTTCCTGATCACAGCACAGTTTCTTCCAAACCCAGATTTACCATCAGCTGCTTTCCAGGCCCGCAGAAATGCCTGCCTGCTTGCCAGAAAAGCCAGTTGGGGTCTTCCACCGTCTGATTCCAAATTCTGAAGAAACAGATGCTCTTTCTCACCCTTCCAAGTTACCCCAGTTGGCAGCAAAGAAAACAACTCAGGAAAGACACAGAAGATGCAATCTGGTGGCTCAGGAAGGCTCCTGAAGACTCTTGGTGCCCAAAGAATTCTGCTTCCATCACCACCTCCTCTGCAGAGTAGGCTCAGAAGGACCTGTCTCGGAGAGGCATTGCAAGGACTGGCTGTGGAACGTTTTGAACAACAGAGGTGTGACAGAGCCACTCAGTCCCTGGTAGCATAAACTAAACAGCTTGTGCTTTCTCATGCTGCCACCGGGAAGGATCTGCTCCTCTTCCAGTGAATACCGATTTTTGTTTGGCTCTTAGTGAGACAGCCACCCCTCAGAGCCCTTTGGCAATACGATCATGATTGCACATGAAAACAAACTCATAAAAAAAGTGTAAATGAGGTTATGTTTAACCCATGAGACCACACCTGCCCCCCTCCCCCCTGCCAGAGGACAGGCTACACCTGATCTGTTTGGTACTCAGAGGCTTCTGATAAGCTTTCGGAAAAGCTCAGAAAGTTTTCCTGGTATTCAGAGCAAATGATCTCAAATCTGTAATGCCTGAACTCCACTGCAAAGGTGCCGAAGTAGCACAGGAAGCACATCACCAGGCCCCACTGGATCCTGGAAGCGTGCATGTGAATGCCCTGTGCCATGAGGATGAAATCTGGAAGAGGAAGGGTCAAGGAGAACTAGTGAGAGCAGAGACACTGACCGGTATGAGAGAAAGCCAGCAGGGAAGACAATCTTAAACAAAGTCACACAGATGACAGTCAACCCATCCAGCCATCATGAGGAGAGTGTGAATGGGATACCAGAGAAGAAAGGGATGTCAGGGGTCCAATGATGCCCATGGAGCACAGCAGCTCTCCTATACCAGGGCTTCCTGATCTCAGATCAGGCTGATAAACATTTCGAGAGGGAAAGATTTAGGTGCAGAGAAGTAAGTGCCTTGCTCAAGCATCCAACTAGCCAGGGATAGAGCCAGCAAGCTGGGGATCTGGCTGTGGGCCTCTACCTGCCAAGAGCCTCCCAGTGGGAACCAGATCAGAACTCTGTACCACAGGCAGTGGGAACACCTTTCAACCTACACTATGAAATCTTTCATTCTCTTTAGATCACCTGCAAAATCATCCCTTCATCTGAAAACTGGAAGCATCACTCTACACAGTATGGCATGTTATACTGAGAGGAAAAAGAAACTGTCCTCCAGACTCATGTGCCCATGTGCTTGGACTGCATATTGCCTGGCATCAGGGTCTCACTGCTGTACCTTGGATTGTGTTGCAGCACTCCACAAAAGCAATTCTGAGCTTCCCTAAAGCAGAGGACACCTTCCTGAGCTGAGGACCTGCCCTAGCCCAATGCACATCTCTAAACCTACCATCTCTCGCATCTGTCAGGATTTCCTCTGCACTCCAAGTGTGCGGGATCACACATCTTCACAGGTAAAACAAACAAACAAGCAGCCTCTCCCATGCTTTAACTGCACAACAACAGGTAATTGGAGACTCTTCATCTTGGGCTTAGTGTAAGCAATGAAAGCTTCACTTCAGCAAACAGCATTTTGTGTCTGGCTTTAAGGATCTTCTACTTTTCCTGTAGTGCAAGGGTTACGCACAAACTGCATAGAACAGGGAACCAGCCCCTGGCCATTGCAAAGCTGGCGGGAGGGTGCGGAATGGGACTCCTGCCTCAGCCTGCCCCCCTTCACAGAAGGCCTTCAGTGCCTCAGTACTGAGCAGCCAGCTGGGAGAGGCTGGGAAGAGCTGTAGAGGGCTGGGCACACCCAGCGTGTCAGTACAGGAGCAGCTATGCCCTGGCTCACCTGGCTGCTCCTGCTCCCGGCTTAGCGGAAACCTCTGGAGATGTCAGCGCAGCCGGAGCTCCCCGTGTGCAGCCCTACCCCAGACACACAGTCAGGAGCTATTGGCTTGAGGCAAGGGGAGGAGGGGAGCACCACAAGAACCCTGCATCTCCCACGTTATGTACACCAAAGCCTGATGCTCAGCTACAAATTTTTTCAAGGAAGCTCAAGGGGTGACTGATGTCACATCTTCATGTCAATCTGCTATTCCTCTGGACACTGGCTGAAACGTTCAAACCCAGACAGGTCAATAAGGAATTGTTTTAAGAACAGGCTGTTCCCCAGTGAGGGGGATAAGCTTATTCCTCAGCATTTATTCCTGCCCTCTTGTTTAACCCAGCACTAATGTTGATGCAACTATGCATTGAATGGATCCATCCCAAATAAACACCCAGAGCACGTCAGTGCTGGTGCGAGCAGAAGGGCTGGAGGGGGGCTTACAGGCACAAGATGTAGAGGAAGCCACACATACATCCAGTCTGAGTGACCACAGACCCCACAGCCCAAATCCCATTTGTAAAGCACTTAGTTTTAACCTGAAGCCCATGTCACCCAGCAGCTCTTGACTGTGATAACTGTCTTAAAAGGCAGAGCTGGATATAGCACTCTGAAGCATTTCAACAAACACGTCAAAATCTTTTCATCATCA